GGAGCCTGCGGCTTAATTTGACTCAACACGGGAAACCTCACCAGGCCCGGACACCGGAAGGATTGACAGATTGATAGCTCTTTCTTGATTCGGTGGGTGGTGGTGCATGGCCGTTCTTAGTTGGTGGAGCGATTTGTCTAGTTAATTCCGATAACGAACGAGACTCTAGCCTGTTAAATAGACGTAAATTATGGTATCTCGAAGGCCCCTGGCTTGGGACGGTGAGGTTTTTACTACCAACGTACAAACAAATCTTCCCAAATCTTCTTAGAGGGACAAGCGGCTTCTAGTCGCACGAGATTGAGCAATAACAGGTCTGTGATGCCCTTAGATGTTCTGGGCCGCACGCGCGCTACACCGAAGGAATCAACGTGTTTTCCCTGGCCGAGAGGTCCGGGTAACCCTCTGAACCTCCTTCGTGCTAGGGATTGGAGCTTGAAATTATTCCCGTGAACAAGGAATTCCCAGTATACGCGAGGCATAAGCTCGCATTGATTACGTCCCTGCCCTTTTTACACACCGCCCGTCGCTACTGCCGATTGAATGACTAAGTGAGGTCTTCGGACTGGTGCGCGGCAATGCCGAGACATTGCCAATGTTACCGGAAAGATAACCAAACTTGATTATTTAGAGGAAGTAAAAGTCGTAACATGGTTTCCGTAGGTGAACCTGCGGAAGGATCATTAATGAAAATTTAAACAAACTTACAAAGTTTGAAAGAGAGANNNGTGCGCGGCAATGTCTAGGCATTGCCGATGTTACCGGAAAGATGACCAAACTTGATTATTTAGAGGAAGTAAAAGTCGTAACAAGGTTTCCGTAGGTGAACCTGCGGAAGGATCATTAACGAAAGTTTTAAACAAACTTACAAAGTTTGAAAGAGAGAGAACTCTATCACTACGTGAGCTCTTGACATTAAAACACATGATACGCAAGACACGAACACACATGATAATAATATACAGAGTACGTGCCAAAGAAAAGCTTGACAAAAACCGAAAAGCAGCCAAAAGTATATGACTACAACATATGATACGCAAAAATGAGGATGAAAAGTGCAGCTCCTCGCGTATATAAACAAAAATATATTGGCCATACACAACAAAAATGCGTATAAACGAGCCACGAAAGATGATTGAGAGAGAGAAATTTTTGGAGGTAGTAGCAAACAAACGAAAAAACAGATACGAAAAATGTTAAATGACAATTCGTCGTTAAGGCAGTCGTGATGCGGAGAGATATTTACGGTTACGTGTAGGAGGTCGCTTTGGCTCTCATCGTCGATACTCCCGTCCGTATTTCGTATCCGCCGACGCGTTTCGTACGAACGAGCGCGAACGTTAAATAAAGTTAAAAAGAGAGAGCAACGCCGTTTCATGTCGTACGCTGTAAATAGAAACAACGAAAGTTTACTGACGAAAAGATATCGAGAGTTTCCTCTCTATCTTCTCGGCTCTTTTTTCCGTAGCGTATAAGAAAGGTTTCGACTCTCCCGGGACGTCGTTTACCCTTATTAACGGATACCGCCAGATCCTTCCGATAAATACAAAAAGTCGTAACAAGAATGTTCAACTTGAACTCGAAGCAAAATAATACGAACATTCTCATATAAAAATATATCTATACATAAATGAATCTGTCGCGTATTTTACCGGCAGAAGGTTCGTTGTGTAGAATGGATCGTGTGCATGGTGTACCCGTTCCTTGCGACGCACAGTGTGTCGTTTGGCCAATCTAGCGGGACAAAAATCAATTTTGCAACTTGCACAGACACGTCCACTGACATTATGTATCGATAGTAAAATGTCCATTTTATAAGAAAATAACAATATTAATGTAAAAAACAATGTGTAATGATCTGTTACTAGTATCTGAAAATCTAGTTTGACGCAACTGCCTCTACGAGCACTTTTTTCGCGCTTGAGATTTTTGACAGTTGTGTTGTACCAGTATCCAATATTAATATTTGTGTGTACGTAGTGTTATCTTCTATCATTCAGAATGATTTCTTCATTTGTCATATTTTGAAATAGCATTTTATTAATCTTCTATTCCTTTTCAAATGTTAGCATATAATTTAAATTCTATTTCACAGTATAGGTAGACTTTTAACATAGTATACCACTTTATACAATGTTCCCACTTTTTGTGTCGAAAGCTAGACTTATAAACAACATAAACCTGAAAGGGCATTACAGACAAACACTGACATCTATCATTTTTATTTAAACATATCGCGCTGACGCATGCCCTTCTCGTTAAAACGGAATAGCTTCAAAAATGGATACTAACAGGGATTTATTCAACAGATTATTAATTTCTTCAGATCTGATTATTTCACATTTACGAACTTCTCAAAAAACTGTCCGGAAAAAAATAATAATAGAATTACAACAATTCTTGGAAGAACCATTAGTTGATCCCAGTTCCTCGGAAGACGTATAACACGAAAGCAACGTTGACTAAAAAATATATTCATGTTTTAAAAAATATAATAAAGATTTTGTATA